GGAGACCCCCAGCTAACACCACCTAGCAGCACAACTCGTAACTACAAAGCATGCGCACACAACAGGTCGTTTCCGGTTATTTTTGGGTCCCCCTTCGTATATATATATATATATAAGAAAGTAGAATTTTCTTGCATTTTTAAAATCTGTTGTGCAAAACAAAAAGAGTACAGTTTTGGTATTTATAATAATTGGACCAAAACAGTTCTTTTATTTATATTTATATTCTGATGTAATTCAACCACTAATGTAGACTGTCTTTACTTCCACTGTTCCTTTTTTGGCCTTATATGTCCATNGGACCTGTCGTCTTGACAGATTACTGATGATGATGATGATGTCCATGAACGTGGCTTCTAGTTCTGTGGGTAGAGTGCCATTGATCTACAGCGTTTGCATTATCAATTGCTATCACAGATGATCCCTTCATGTTACACATCATCAGTTCACATATGCTTTCCTGTTGCACTGAGGTTTGGATTTTTTATGAAATCCTTCAAGCTTAATTCTTGCTCATAAAAAACAGCAGAGACAGGGAGCGCATACACAGTTGACAACAATGGTCTAAAACCTGGGAGTCCTTTGTTATTGAACAGTGCAAATTTCAAAAGCTCATACAATCTCCTTCACTCTCTTAGGATTGTAAATTCATATCATTGATTAGATGAGGATATTGTTGGGATCTGTTACCAGGCAGCAGTGAGTGAAGACAAAATCCTTAGTATGTGCTGCATTGAGAATTCGGGTGCGTGAATTAATGTTAGCGCTATAATTCTTTGTATTTACAATTTACGAGCACAGTAAATCCAAATACCAATTACCAATCCAAACCCTGCATCTAGTTACCAAACTCATGACAGTATATTACTACTCGTGATAGACTTCTCCATTCCAGTCCACTAACATTCTTTCATTTTTATCATTGCTATTCCTGCATCTACTTTCTCTTCCTAGTTCAACTTCTGATTCTAATTCTGAATCTTTTTGCTTTATTGTAAGTGAAATAACTGAAGCAAAATAATTCTGTATGTATACTACTTGGCTGAGGAAGTTGCTGTTAGAAGGGTGCCATATTCTTTGAAATACCACATACATTTTCTACGTAGGAACTATTCATTTCATGTCCTTCATGAGAAATTTTAAGTTCCCTTAATGAATCAATTTGCCATGGCAGAAGTTGGACTCTTGAAATTGTCAGAGCATCATCAGCAGGTGGAGGAGGATCATTTCTTTATCACTTTTTTTGGGCCGGGTGTCCTTTTGGCATCCCATAACTGAGACTGTTCATTGCTGGCTTCTGACTGCAGTGGCCCAGGTTCAGTCTCAGGGGAGTCCATGCATTATTTGTGATGGAAAAAAGTGGCAGTGGGGCTGGCTTATATCCAAGTACTTCCACTGCAAGAATAATAATAATGGCAATACTGTGATCCTAAATTAGCATATATTTTTTGTGTTACATGAAGAAAATGAATGTACCTTGCCAGTATCTTGCTCCTGGCTGAGTACTTTGCTGTCTGTTGGCATAGGACATTTCTGTGTTTGTTAGTCTCTTGCATTTGAAGCATCACAGATACTAACTCGGAAAGCACATTTAGCATATTATGATGCAGAGGGTTGTCTAAATGGCACTGATGCTACAACAAAATCCTGTTCTGAGCTATATAATTTGTCCTTCAATAAATGCTTTTTATAAAATTAACACAAAACATATTTTCTGTCATATACGGGTACAGATTATTTTAAAAGGATCAACTGCAGAATATTCACATCTTTCATTCAGAACAATCCAGTACACAATTGTGTAATTTGACAGCAGATTTGTTCCTTCTAAAAAATATTATGTGTAGACACATGATCCTTTAAAGGTTATGTAGAACACTTATATTTCACTTCCACTGTTATGTATGAAAAAAGTAAACATATTTCTGTGCTTTCAGTATAACACAAATAA